GGGGGTACCATATATATATATACATATTTATTTGTTTATATATTTATTTATCTATTTAGCCCGCTCCTACTCAATCAAGTAGGTGCCTACTCAATCAAGTAAGGAATAAACTACTTGCCACCTAAACTAGTACCTACTGGACACAGGATTGTTCATCTTTCTTCAAGGAAGTTCTCCCCCGCCTGACTCCTTGAATTGGCAGGAAATGTGATCGACCTCGACATTCGCCTGAGCAAGACGGGCATTTCTTACAGATTTGCCGGATCAGTTGGTCCAGAACAGTTCGAAAAAAGTTAAAAATTTACCCTTTGGTGGTTAGTGCCATCCGGAATCTTGAGATTGTTTGTGAGTCAGAAGAATGGAGAAGATTGGTCTTTATCGTGGGAGTTCGGATTGTTCGGTTTGAGATTCCCAAGTTGCTGCTTTTGTGGAGGTTTTCAACCATGCAAGTTTAGGCAGTTTGCGGGTTCCAGAACCTGCTTTGTGCCAAATGGTTCGCTTGCTCATTTTTTTGAGTCTCATTTGCTGAAGTTTTATGCATCCACAGTTGGTTATTTGCCGCAGCCTTAAAGTCGCCCCAAAGAAGCTTCCAGGATTAAGACAATCCAGTGAAGCAACGGGCGCAGGCTTCATATGACGTTTACCTTTTTAAGAGGACTTTGGTTCATAGCATGTCTTGCAAGAATTGCAGGAATAGTTTCTGGATGTTTCTGGGAACAGAAAGGAACAACTTTCGCAAATGCCATGATCCTTGTTTCGCTCTCCATGGTTTCTCTCGCAACGCCCATGGCCTCGCTATGCCTTTGAAGCCCGAGGTGTCCAGGAGTATTCAAGAGAAACTGAGTGAGTTTGAAGTTTGGAGTATGTTGAAATCATTATACAAGAAAATGAGTTTTCTATACTGTAAGACAGGCGTCGCTCTTGGACTTAGTTTCCACTTGCCAGTGTTTTCGAAGAGCACGTTTGAAAGGCCTTAGGTCTTGGCGACTGTGATGTTACTTAAGTCAGGCCGCACTGGCCCTTGACACTCGAATTGCAGCGTCAGACCTTTCAAGGCGAAGACGGCCAGATTGTGCAGATAGAATGGTCAGATAGGATGGAAGAATTGTGTTGTGTTTGTTTTTTAAAGCCGGCTCCTACTTGATTAAGTAGGCACCTACTTACTTAAGTAAGGGACTAAACACAGCTACTTCAGCTACTACCTACTGGACGCAGGCTAGCTCACGCGCTATTCATTTGGTTCCTAGAGGATTATAAAAGAAGCTGTTGAGAGTTCTTGGTGATGCTCAGCTCTTCTCAACAGGCCTGCCTGCAGGCTTCCTCCTCCCTTCCCGCACCAGACTCAGAAGAAATCTTCGGTGTGGAAACGCATTCTACATGGAAGTTTTGGCTAAGATATGCCTCAACCTTCACTTCTCTACTGAATGCTTGCATTTTTTCAGATGAGATGAAGACAATCACCAATGAGGAAACGAAGGTGACCTAAGTTACCTAAGTTATTAATTAGGTGTTAAGTGTTATTTCAGCATGTGTAAAACGTGAAAGCTTCAAGGCCTGCTTCTCCAGCATGTTTTGCTTCGCCTGGAACGCTGGAAGTCCGAGATTGGAAGATCCGGGAACTTCGAGTTGGAAGAGAAGGCTATTGCTATTGGGTTGGAGGCCATCGCTAGTAGGTTGGAAGAGAAGGGTCCTGTTAAACGATGACAAACGGGTCCATACATCAACAACTCCACGCAACACTCATCCCAAGGCCCAGCACCAGTGTGAACGCGTGGCTCAAGGCGGGACTTCCTTTCGGCCCTCGGAATCAATGATCAAATAAGGCAAACTCCCTTGGATCTTGGAAAAGGTAACGCCCTGACAAGAATACTGATGTATGAGTACGGATGGATTGGAAGGGCATGGCAAGACTATTTTCTCTCATGTCTTTCTTGAGGAACGGGTCCTGTCAGTCACGTCGTGCCAAGGTGGACACACCCCATTCCTCTCAGACGCCCGATCGAGGCCATGCGCCAAAAACAGACTAGTTACTAGTTAGTCGGAGATGTGGGGACATTGGAAGGAGAATGGAAGAAGTTGGTGTTTGATGTGTTTGGTCCTGGGAAGTTGGATTTTCAATTGCTGTGTGATGTACTTACCTGCCCATGGAGTGCCTGTGTAGGTTGCAGGACATCACGTTCCACAATCTCAAGCAGGATGAGTCGAAAGAGAGCCAGGGGCTAAATCAAGGGCAGCTTCAACCCCGAGGGCTCATCACGAAAGGTAGCCTGGTAAGGACTACCTTGAGTTTGCTTTGCGAAGCAAAGGGACATTGATAAATCAATTGTTTTGCACCCCCCTCCCCTCCCCCCCTCCCCCCCCCCCCCCCCTCCCCTCCCCGTCCCCTCCCCTCGCCAGCACTACTAGAAAGCTGGACACACCATGACACCATAAGGTGAAGTCATGCGCTTAGCAGTCACAGCAGTACGACGCTGGCCATGAGGTTGCGCAATGCGGCTTCGATGCGGTGCGCGCGCGCCCGGCAGCCTGACATAGCGCGCACTGCGTTCACAGACCATATTGCTCGACACCAACGAGCATCGATGCAACACAGCCTCTCTGCAAAGCCCTGTGGAGAAACCTCTCGCTTCGCGGAGCACCATTCGACTCAGCCTTATACCCTCGCGTGGCGACATCTTACCGCATCGTGGAGCACCACTACACAGCTATTTACGCGCCCTTCCCATCACCCACCCACCATAGCGTGACGTCCATCCCTGGCAGTACCGGCGGCTTCGACGCAACGCGTGCAGGACTGCAATCCTGACACAGTGCGCGTAGCTGTGGGACCATAGCTGGTTAACATGCGAGCGCTTACGCATTGCGACTTTTACGCGCGCCTGTTTTCACACACCTTTACACAAACGAGCGTCGACGCAACGCAGCCTCGCTGCAGAGCCGGGCGGCGCAATCTGATCGCAACGGTGTTCCTCTTGAGCCTTCTTGTGCCCTTTGGCTTTGTTGGTTTCGTCCATGATTGACCAAGGGGAACGTTCCTGAAACACCGGAGACAGTCCCTCACCAGAAAATGTGCCGACAGCTACCCGGTCCGTCTCTACCTTTCGTGTTTCCCTGCTCAAGTATCAGGTGGCCGAGCCCTCCGGTGACTCAGGAATTCACTTGTTACTGCCAAAGATCATCACGAAAGCTAGCCTTAGCTAGCTGGAGTTGCTCTTGCTTTAGCAAGTTAAGTGACGGGGTGGACGCACCTCAGAAACCTCAAATAATTGATTAAATCAATCTTATGGACCCCCCCCTCCCCCCGCGGGTTCGACTCCTCCCTGCGCGCGGTGAGCGGGACCACCAAGCAGCTGCAGCACACCAAGCATCTGCAGTCTACCACCAAGCAGCTGCAGCAAACCACAAAGGAGCAGCAGCAGCAGAAGCAGCAGACCCAGAGCAGCAGCAGCAGCAGCAGACCACCCAGCGCCAGCAGCAGCAGCAGCAGCAGCAGACGACCCGGCGCCAGCAGAGCACCCAGCGCAGCAGCGCCCAGCGCAGCAGCGGCAGCAGCACCAGCAGCAGCAGCAGCAGCAGACCACCCAGCGGCAGCAGCAGCAGCAGCAGACGACCCGCCGCCAGCAGAGCACCCAGCGCAGCAGCGCCCAGTGCAGCAGCGGCAGCAGCAGCAGCAGCACCAGCAGCAGCAGCAGCAGTCCACCCAGCAGCAGCAGCAGCAGACCCCCCAGCAGCAGCACAAGACTCAAATGACACCGCCTGACTCCACGCCGTAACTAGTCGCGTACGCGGGGTAGGGCTATGATGCAAGAAATGCCGCCTGCACATAACACCCAAAAAGGTATTACTGTCCAATGTAGCTCCTGCTGCTGCTGGGTGGTCTGCCTTGGCTGCGTCTCCTGCTGCTGCGGCCGCTTCTGCTGTTGTGTTTGCTGCTGCTGCTGCAGCTGCTGCTGCTGCTGGGGTTGCTGCCCCTTTTCGCCGTGATGTCATCGGTGCCAAAGGCGCCGAGGAAACGACCGCGGAACAGCAACCGCTGGAAAAACCAAGCCAAAGAAGTGATGGAAAGGGGGCACCAAACAAAACCTGCTCCTGTCAGGTGGCAGTTGCTTAGCTGCATGAGACTCGACGCACCACAAAGCACATACTAACACTGCTTCTCTAGAGTTTCCCACGGGACTTGCAAGTGGACCGGCAGTTACCCAATGCGAGTGACTGTGCAGCCCGCCCCCGACTTGTTTGGACGAGGAGGCCCGGCTAGCTTTCGTTCACCCCCTCTGGCCTCAAGTGATTTCAGAGCAACATTCTTGTCTTGAGTCTTGCAGCATGTTCTTAGTCCTGAGAAGAAATATTGAAGAGTCAGCTGCACACTTGGAGAACAACAATTGTTCTGACATATATAATCTAGCCGCTTTGGCAGACCCCACATCATCCAGCCATACATTCGGCAACTGTATGGCATGCAAGACTCTGAAGTTGAATTTGATTGAATGGTTTATTCTGATTCTTTGTTTGCGTCCCGAAGGTGGAGGATCCTGGTGCAAACAAATCCAGGCAAATCCAGCAATCCCGGTCGTTTTACTGTTATTTAGTTATTTATGAGAAAAGGATTTGGTAGAGAAAAGGCAAGCTGTATATGTCCAAGACTTAAGAGGAATATATCATTTGTTTCCCAATGAATGGGCATGGATCAAAAGAAAATAAATCAAGAGATTCACATCCCACTGATCTATATTATATATGGTGGTATCATAATGTGACGTCCAGGTCTGAACTGGCTCACACAGAAGTCAAGACCTAAGATCGCCAATGATTGTTGAGTTGTCCTTTGTTCTTCGATCAGATCTGCCGAAGCATTCGAAGCAGTTGCTTCCACGTACCCTTCCTGGAAGCCCGTCCTTGTGTTCTGTCAGATTCCATCATATGCTTCCGTTTGCTGTCATGTGCCGTGTGATAAGTGTTTTTACTCCAACTCACTGAGGCCCGTACTGAGATGACCTCCGCAATGCAGAACCTCTTCCAGACTTTTGAACCTTGACAAGAAAACCTTTTGACAAACCTCATCAAGGCATGCAGTAATGTTTTTGTGTTTTTGTATGTGTTTGTTTGACAAAGCAGCTGAATTCTACGCAGCAGGGCCGCCTGAGCATGACAAACCTGCAAGTGGGGGATTTAGGGGTGTGGTGGGCAATCAGTGAAAGTTAGAAAAGGACATGTTGGCCTGTTCACCATCTTCATTAAAGCTACTGCAAGAGCTTGAAAGATATTCCGAGACCATTTTGACCGAGCCACAGTGGCTTGATCTGCAGGATTTGGACCAGAGTGGCTCCATCAGCCTTGATGAGTTTGTCAAGGCACAGGCGCAAAGCTGCACAAATGAGCCTGTTCCTGTGCGGGAATGCTGCACTGCAGCTTTTAGTTCGGCAGAATTCTGAGTTATTGTTCCTTCATTTGCTCAGAAGTGATGTCGAGAATAAGATAGAATGAGAGGATTTGCAAGCTTGAATGTGTCAATCAAGGTATACCTTTTTTTGATGTAGATCGGATGCACTGATAGATCCCGGGTGCGTGCCCGACTTCCTCAACTTCGGGAGATATGCTTATGTACTCCGAACTTTACCGCCTTACAAGGCGAAACACTGGTCAAAGGCCCTGTCTCCCGCAAGGAGTACGCCACTGAGCTCTATGGGGTGCCAGGCGCTTTGCCAGAGTTCTGTGCGGTGGGTATCCACTCCTTTGGACAAAGGCTTCACACTTTCGCACAGATTCATGTACTTTGTCCGCCATCACCTGTGCGTTCCTTCGCCACTGGTCCTTTTGGTGCCCTGCTCCCTTGATCTTCTGGTCCCGTGGTCCTGCTGGTCGCCTCGTTTCGTCCCTTGGTCCCTGGTTCAGGGTAAAATTTAGAGCAGGAAGGCGATCATTTTGTAGAAAGGGTAAAGTCGGGTAAAGCAGAAAGGGGCTGCCGCAATGTAGCACACCTCTTGTAGGCCGCCTGAACGCAAAGTTTAGAGCAAGAGGAGGGCTAACTTGGAGCGTAACATGTGTAAGCAGAAAGGATAAAATTCAATTTTGTGCACATCCTGGGTCATGGGCCGCAGGAAGGGCAAAACTTAGAGCACGAAGGAGCAAGTTCAACTTGGAGCAGACCTTTTTTGTGGGCCACCCAAGATTAAATTTACAGCTGAATCCTGTGGTCCCCCCGACAGTATAATTCAGAGCAGGAAGGACGTTGACCAGCAGCTTCCTTCCGGCCCCTATAGACTTCACATTGGTTCCGAACATTCCTGCAGCCAAACTCAACGGGAACTCAGTGGAAAAGCATGGAAGGATGTAATTTTGGTCCAAAAGACTGGCCCTATTCTAGGAGTCAAAAGCGTGGGCGGAACTTAACGGGAGCGAACAGGAGGAACTCAACGGCAATGGGGACTCACCTGAAATGCTTCGAATCAAAGCAAGTGACTTAAACTGTACACCTCAAAAGGTATGCTCTGTATGGTGGACAGCATGCGCATAGCAGAACACCACCCGCACACACGAAACCTAGCGCCAGTTGGTGGCGCAAAGCAGTGGAACATGGCAACGCGCTGTGTCCCCTTGTACCACGGCTCCTGTCTTCCAAAGGCAGGGCCCGCACCCTAAGCCCTCCTTTTCCACAAGCGCGTCATGGCTTTGAATCCTCCGGCACTTCGACCACAACGTCCATATGTTTTGCCATTGCAACATGTGACCGAGAATCCTTTTCTGGTTCTTGTGTTGCGTTGATGCTCACTGCCTAAGAACGGCAAGTGCGCAGCTGCCACAGCTAGAAATAAAGGTTCGTCACCAAATCACGAAAGCTAGCATGCTAGCCGAGTTCTTCTTTGCTTTAGCAATGTTGTGGTGGGAGGGGCTGCGTGCCTTAAAGATTGATATATCAAGCTAACCCCCCCCCCTGAAATGTAGAGGCCTACTTGTACAGGTTCCACTCCAGTGGCCTATCTAGTGTGTCCATGCTTGACTGCCATAAGGCTCAAGAGGATAAGACTCTGCGTACAAAAGACACTAGCGGTCTGCACCTCAACCGTGTACGCCCTAGTCACTCTTTCAGTGGTAGCGGAGCAGTGATCCTGGAAGACCCAGGTGAGCTCCTTTCCTAGGCATAGACTTGCTTTTAGGCAAACGGCCATGGATTGGATTGACGACTGGGAGGAGCCTGATGCGGATGTGGCTTATGAGCCAGCAGCCTATGTGAATAGGCATGTGAGAAGAGAACCAGCAGCTATAGCAATGACAACACAGGTCATTACAAAGGTGCCCCCCATCTTATGATGGAAAGACTTCATGGTTTTCCTATGAGGATGCCATAGACGATTGGTGTGATATCACTGAGCTGGAGGATGAGAAGAGAGGACCAGCATTGAGAAACAGATTAGAAGGAGAAGCAGCCGTATACAAACGTGTTTTAGACAGAGATGCATTGAAGGCGAATGATCCACCAGGAGCTGGAGTAGATTATTTCAAACGAGTCCTACGACCATATTTTGTGAAGGGAGCAACCAATGTATTCCTGTATAGGTTTATGCAATTCGTGCGCTTCAATCGCGGATCAGCTGATATGATGAAGTGGATGACAAGATTTCAGATTTTACTCCAAAGGCTTATGAGCAGTTGGATGGACATGTTGGAGCCAGTCACACAAGCACATCCTCAGGTACAAGCTCAGATGCAAGCTGATGCAGTGATGAATGGAGTAGCTCCAACGGCTGAAATAATTCAGGAAATCATGCAGAATATCAATGGCAATCTGAGAACCTTTCATCAGAACGATTTTCCTTTAGGAGAAAATCTCATTGCCTTACTCATGCTGTCACTTGCAGATTTGTCTCAGGACCAGAGGAACACTTTGACCTCTTTGATGACTCATCGTGGTAGAGTCCTGCAGCAATACACCACAGCAGAGTTAAGGACAGTTTTCATTGAGATGTTCTGCACGACAAAGACTTCAGTAGACAATCCTTTGATGCAGCCGACAGGTGCAGGAGGTAGAAGATCATTCCTCGTGCTTGACGAAGGAGAACTCGATGGTACATATGGCTATTGGGCCGAAGATGAAGAAGATGGAACAGAAGGATTTCTAGATGCCCTGGACGATGTCTTTTGGGTATATGATGAACAAAATTTCTCTTGGTTCCAGAGGAGATTCCAAGGAAGAAGAGCCAGAAAAGGCAAAGGAAAAGGAAGAAGAAAAGGAAAAGGCAAAGGAAGATCAGGCCGCAGATTTTTCAGACCTCGTGGAAAAGGAAAAGGAGGAAAGAGACGAGGCAAGGGCCATTATGCTGATGAGCAACCGCCAACTTATCCAGATGAGTATTTTGAAGAGAATCCTTATGAGGACACTTGGGAGTCGAACCAAGTAGCATATGATGCTATTCTTGCCGAAGATATGAATGACTATCTTCAAGGAGAACATGAAGATGCCAATGATTTTTGGCAACAACTTGAAGAAGCATGGTTTTCCCACAAAGGAAAAGGAAAAGGTAAGAGAAAAGGCAAGAAAGGAAAAGGAAAAGATAAAGGAGAGGGCAAACAAGATGCAAACTATGCAAATCAACAACAGCCACGCTCTTTGCCTGCACCTTCAAGATCTTCACAAGCATCAGGAAGTCACCAAGGTTTCTTTGCGCATTGTGTGACAACAGCAGCTGAAGTCCATGACAGTGAGGTGAACTTGCTGTCAGGCATGATGACCTCATGTCAGGATGAAGCTGACTGTAATGTCAACAATGGTGAGACGATCTTCAATGGCATGAGTGCCCCTGTGAGGTACTCTTTGTCAAAGGAGATGCTCACAAGTGCTCCTGATGGCTTTGCGCTTATGAGCGCTGAGGAAGAAGTGAAGGAGACGCAGGCTATTTCATTTTTGACTGAGAATCGCTTCCCGCCAACTATTGCAATCCTGGACATTGGATGCACTAGAGCTATGGGATCAAGGCGTGCAGTCGATTATTTTTGTAACTATGTCGACAATCACCCAAATTGTGGATTATGGTACTCTTTTGAGGCTACCAAGAGCAAATTTTACTTTGCCAATTCTCAGAAGGCTTCTTGCTCTCAGAAACTGGTGATTTACATGTATGATCGCGCATGGACGATCCACAATACAGAGTTCGACATAGTGGAAGAAGGAGAAGTCCCTTTGCTTATGAGCTTGCCACAGATGAGAAACTTAGGCTTTGAACTCAGGCTGACACCCCAACATGCTTATCTGACATCGGTGCCTCTTGGTATCAAATATTTGGAGTTGAAGGTTGCAGCCAGTACTCATCTTGTATTGGACTTCCAAGATATCGCATGGTATTTGTCTGACGTGCGTTTGCAGGCTCGGCGTGAGAAGAGTTTTTACTCTCACTTCACTCACTATGAATATGGCCATATTTCTGTTGATCACGATAGTGATGAAGATGAAGCTGAGCATGCATATCCTGTGGTTGACTACTGGGAAGTAGATGTTCACAAAAGAGAACTGATACGTCACCACAAGGATTACAGGAAGATTCTTTTCCCAGCAACTAAGTCCTGCCCTGTAGACACTGACTTGCTGGAAGACTTGCGACTGACAATCATCAAGAAGAAGGAAGGAGGAGAAGAAATCAAGAAGCTAGATGATTGGCGCAAGGCAAAATGGAAGGACCTACAAATTGGCTATGAATGGCGTGGTAGAACAATTTTTAAGTTCAAGCCAGATGCCAAAATTCCAGATCTAAAGATCAGGAAGGCTGGCATTGAGCACCGTGGCATTGGTGATCCCGATGCAGTGGTGCGCTCCTCCTCAGAGAAGGTTCCCATTGCAAGGGACAGGGAACCAGGCTTCTCTTCAGAGAAGGAAGGTGTACCATCCAGTGCCGCGGAAAAGCCTGCGCCGCCAAAGTTTCGGTATACCTCAAAGGGTTATGATCCATTTTGGAAAGGATACAAGTTGAAACCATCTGAGCCTCCACATGATTTAAAGGGTGATGATCTTGAGGAGTATACTCCCTCAGAACCACCTGAGAGGCCAGAAGGTGAACTTGTAGAAATTCCTAAAGCATCAAAAGGACCATCAAGTGATAAACATGAACCACTTGAACCAGGTGATGGCGCTCTTGAGCCTAGGCGGATTTCAATCCCATTACCTGGTAGTGAAGTTGTTGCAATGACACCGGCATATAGGAAGATGTTGCAGAGACTGGAGGACAAGGTAGAGCTTTACAAGCTTCATGTGAAGCACTACCATATGAGTCCCACTCAGTTTCGTAGGCGTGTTTCTATGTTGAAGCTTCCTGACTCTGTTTTAGAGAAGTATGAATCAGTTGTCAGGAACTGCCGTGTTTGTAACACTTCAGTGGCACCTCCGCCACGAGCCAGAGTCTCCGGTATTAGAGCTTCATGTTTTGGTGATGTTGTTTTTGCTGATCATTGTGAGGTTGAACTTCACAAGAACAAGTATATCATTCTACTTGTTCTTGATGGTGCCACAAATCTTCTCTGGGCTACGGCACAGAAAGACCTCATAGATCAAACCACCATCCAAGCATTGAGGCAATGGTCTGATGAGAACAATTGTGTTCCGAAGGCCCTCGTAGGAGACGAAGCCTTTTTCACAGATGCTTTTATTGAATACTACAGGTTCCATGGTATACAACAATGTCCTTGTGGGCCAAGAACTCCTTGGCCGA